ACTATAAGTTGGAATTGACTCAATAGTACTTAACAACAGCAAAAAAAAATCTTTATAAGTCCTATTTTTATTGTTTTTAGGTATTGGAAATATTATACACAAATCTACAGCTATATTTTAACATTGTATATAGTACATTGTTATTATTAAGTACTGTTGAGTTGGTTCTGACTCATAGCGACCCTGCATATGGTATATAAGATGTGAAACAAAAAACAGGATTGTTAAGTGTAGTTTGTTGTAACTCAAATATCTCCCTAAAAAGGGATGACAGTATCTATTTCTCTGAATTCTTAACAGGAATGTATCTAACACAGGATTTATAGAGATATTCAGTAATTGCTACTTTATTGAGGTATTCAGTAATTGCTACTCATATTTCCTAACATGAGAAATACAACTGTGAAACAATCTGTCCTTGTTTAGATGTATCAATTTTCTTTTCGTCAAGTGTGAGCAAGCAGGGAAGATGAAAATACATGCTCCTGAATATACCAATGTTAAGTAGTTCTGTGCCAGCAATAAGCAAATGTCACTTACCTAAATCTGGCACCGAGATGGGAAGTTCACTGTTGATTAACAAAAGACATGAAAAGATTAGGGGATAAAAGCCATTTCAGACAGATTAGTTGACACATCTCAAATGACATATTGATGACTAGCTGTCTGAGTACAGACAGGTGCTTCCAGGGAAAGACAGGAAACAAACCTCTCCTGCAGCTTTGTTCTGATCGCTCTTCTCTCACTGTCCTTTGATGTTTTTTTCATGCCTCCGACTGCCCATACTTCCTTTTTCCTAACTTGACAACCTCAAGCTGCTTAACGGCCCAGTCCTTCTCTAACCACACAATCTTAATTCTGCCCTCCAAAGTGCCAATTGAACCTGGTACATCCAGTGTGAGATATGTATTGATGAGAGAGAACAAACCTATAGATTCATTGAGAGGCACCCTCTGGAGGCACTGTACCCTGTTTATGATGTCTAAGCAAAAGGGATGACTTAGGATGAGAATTGCAGAACAGGTGGAAAGAGACAATAGTAAAATTGCTCAGTGGGAGAACATATTTAGCCTAGGTAAATGGTTTGATGTCTCTCAGAAAGGAGATCACATGAAAGGAAGAGTGATACAGCAGGAAAGACCCCACATATTTAAACATTTAGTCAAGTTCATTCCTTCTATTTTGGAGCATTACTCTGGGCTAGGCCCCTGTGCTGGGTAAGTAAAATGATCACACATTGTTTTTGCCTTACAGTAGCTTGGGGCTCAGTGAGGGCGACCAGAAATGAAAGAACACAACACTCAATGATAAGAACATAATATAGGAATATGAGGAAAATGAGTTAACCTTGAAGTCTCAGTTTTTTCATACCAACACTGACCTTTCAGGGTTACTGTTAGGACTGCAAGCATAGCACATGAATGTGCCTGGGACAAATGTGATGTTCAATGATGCCTGCTATTACTCTTTATAAGAGGAGAATGAGTTATGCAGGATGGGGTTGAAGAAAGACCACGGTCATTGGAGTTACAGCTGAATTTTACTCTCAGTTCCGTGTGATCCTGAGCAAGCCACACATGTTTGAAGCCTTGTTTTTTCATCTGTAAAATGGAGATGCTAGTTTCTCCCTTTGTGGGTTAGTTTAAAGATTAGCTCGAACAAATGCAAAGCAGTACTGCCATCAAAACCTATTGTTGTGAAGTACTGTCAAGTCAGTTTCGACCCACAGTGACTCTGTATAGGGTTTCCTAGGAGCAGTCAGTGAGCTTGAACTGCCGACCTTGCAGTTCAAAAAGCTTTGCAGTCTGGTGCATTAACCCACAGCACCACACCAGGACTCCTAGTTAGCATTTATTTGGATTTCTACTCAAGGCCCCTTGACCAAGTCAGCCTTTCTTAACACCAATCCCTTATTCCATTTTTAAGCTGGGTTAGTGCGCTGATAGTTTCTCTTTAAATTTAAAAGTTGAAGCCACAAAAAGATCTATCATATTTCCTTCCTCTAGATCAAATCTTTATTGAGTGTCTACGATAAGCACTGGACTGTGGACCACAAGGTCTGTAGTTTGAACCCAACAGGTGCTCCATGGGAGAAAGATCCCGTGAAGATGTAAAGCCTCAAAAACCCTATACAAGGTCACTATGAGTTGGAACCAACTTGACAGCACTTAAACAATACAACAACAGCTATACGGCAGGCACTGTCCTCGGTGCTGGAGACACAGCAATGGACAAAGCAGTCACCATAACTACCATCAGGGAGTTACATTCTAGTGGGGTCAGATAGACAGAAATCAAATGGAAAGACATTTGCTATCTGCTGTAAAAGCTATGATGGTACAGAAATGAATGGAATGTCATCTAAAGAAACAGATGATCATCAGGGTAACAGATTAAAAACTGAGCAGAGTAAGGGGAACAGGGAGGGTTTACAGTGGGAATTGGTTTGCCATGTTACAGAGGGTGGTCCAGAAAGTCTTCACTTACGACTTTTGAACAGACCCCTGAAGACAGCGAGGGAGTGAGTCACAAGGATATTTGAGGTAAGAGTGTTTCTTAGAAGTTGTTGTTGTTGTTAAGTGCCGTCAAGTTGTTTCCAACCCATAGCGACCCTGTATAGGGTTTCTACGGAGGAGCTAGTGAGCTTAAACAACCAACCTTGCAGTTCAAACAGCTTTGCAGTCTGGCGCATTAACCACAGTGCCACACCAGGACTCCCAGGAGAGGGCCTAGCAAATTCACAGACACTTAGGCTAGAATATGCTTGACCAATGAAAGAAGAGCAAGGAGATCACTAAACCCACACAGATAATGAGAGAAGGATTTTAATATCTAATTCCCATGTAAACTTAGCTAAGATTGGCAGCAAGGCACAGTTCAGCACTCAACTACTAACCAAAAGGTTAGTGGGTTGAACCTATCCAAATGTGCCCAGAAGAATCGATGATGTGCTGCCTTGAAAACACAGTTCTACTCTGCTTCTCTGCAGTAGATGGGGCCCCATGAGTTGGAATCAACTTAGTAGCAACTGTTTTTGTTTTTATTGCCTGACTCATGCCATTTAATGTGACAAGTGTGGAGTCCTGGTGTGGGGCTGTAGGATGAACACTCAACCAGAAGGGTCAGGTTGAACTGCAAGGTTGGCAGTTCAAACTCACCAGCCGTTCCTCAGAAACCCTATACAGGGTGGCTATGGATTGGAATCAAGTTGACAGCACTTAACAACAACAACAGGTGTAGTGCTATAGGATCAGCACTGGACTGCGAACCACAAGGTTGGCAGTTCCGGCACACCAGCCGCTCTTTGGAAATCCTATCTGGGTGGCGAGTCAGAAGCAACTTGACAACACTTAACGACAACATCCCAATAGGCAAGGAGCCCTGGTGGTGCTGTGGGATACACATTGGGCTGCTAACCATGAGGCTGGATGTTCAAGACCACCATTTGCTCTGTAGGTGAAAGATGAGGCTGTGTACTCCTGTAAAGATGCACAGCTTCAGAAACCCTAAGGTACCGATCTACTTTGTCTATAAGGTTCCTATGAGTTGTAATCAACTTCTGGCAGTAGGTTGGCTGGGTATCCCAGTAGGCAGTAGTGTGTGTGTGTGTATGTGTGTGAGAGAGACAGAGACGTCTTATTCTTCTTAAGTGTTATATTTTCACAGTTTCAGCCTCCTTCTGAAGATACGGTAAAACACTAAGGTTGGTATACCAGAGAGAAGTCCTTGGTCTTTAAAAGACAAAAAAGAAAAACAAAAAAGAAACTTGGTGTTGTATTGACCTATCTGCATGCTGTTAATTGAAAAATTAAAGTAAAGAGGTAGAATTTTGGTAAACTTTAAGGAATTTTAAGAGAGCTTCCTATTAATGTAGGTAGTGTATTTCTCTTCATTAGTGGTATGCAAGCACATTGATTTTGCTTGTTAGGAAATTTGCAGAGAAGCTTCTGTAGTGGGTTGTAGTAGGTAATGGGGATTTCCTGTCTTACTCTGAGGTTTTCTGACTTTAAGCAAAAAGAGTTTCTCAGTAGCATCAGTATTATCAGGGTTCTCAGAACACAGAGGAGAGACAGACAATCCAGAGTTGAGTAGAGTAGTTCAGGGAAAGCTTTCCAAAAACTCTTTGATCAAGTTTTGAGGGAAGACTGTTCTTAAGTGCTGACAAGTTGTTTCTGACTCATAACGACCCTATACAGGGTTTCTGAGGCGTGGTTGGTGAGTTTGAACTGCTGACCTTGTGACTCAACCTGACTTTTTGATCCAGTTTTATCCTACAGTGCCACACCAGGACTCCCAGAACTCTGATAATCAAGAAAGGCTGGGGTGGTAGTGGAAGTGTGGTCCAGTCTAAGGAAATGCCATCATCAAAGCAAGGTGTGAGACATCACGGCTTCCTCAGGAATTTAGAGGGTAGGCAGTGGACATTGGAGAAGCAGAAAGGGGGCAGTCGTAAAGGTATTTAGTTGTCATGAAAGGATGTGTGATATTTATTCTAAAAGGTGCAAGTTGTTGTTGTTAAGTACCATCAAGTCGGTTCCAATTCATAGTGACCCTGCATAGGATTGCTGAGGAGTGGCTGGTGAGTTTGAACCACCAACCTTGCGGTTTAAACCAACCTTATGGTCGAGTGTTTAAAAGGAAACAAGATTTACATGTTTGAAAGGTCAGCATCCTCACCTGGATCCCCCCAAATCTCTTCAGAAAGCATCTGACCTGCTAAGGCTGGGATCTGCCTTTGTTTGTAGGTCTCTATAGAGCTTACCTCCCTCTTCTTCCCATTGATAAATCCTGTATTTTAGTGGGTGTCTTGGTACAGCTAGACTCAATAGGCAGTTGTACTTACAAGTACATATTTTGAACTTTTATAACTAGAAAGACCTTCAAGAAAGAACTTGAAGGGGTCTGACAAACTTCATAGAAAAATCCCATTATCTTTAAATTCCATTTTCCACAAATTCTTTAAAGTTCCCTTGTATAGCACCTCAGTATATTGAATGACCTTGGGCAGATTATTTTACTATTCACTGAACTCCATGTCCTGATTTATAAAATAAGCTCTATATCTTTGACTAAATATATTTGAAATAAAAATTCCTCCAGAGATTACCCAGTTTCCCTTCCATTGTATACAAGGGAGAACTGGGGCCTGGTGGATACCAAAAACGAAGTGATTTGCCAATGGTTGCACGTTAAATAAATGGCAGAACTGAGACTAGACTCTGGAATCCAGGTCTCACATTTCTTTCCACTGCAGGTGAATTTATAACCTCCCAAGACTTGTAGAGGAGCTCTGGTAGCGTAGTAGTTACAAATCAGGCTGCTAATCTCAAGGTCGGCAGTTCAAAACTACCAGCTGTTCTGCTCCCATGAAGATTTACAGCCTTGGAAACTCTGTACAGGGTCACTATGAGTCAGAACTGACTCTACGGTACTTAACAACAACAACAACAAGACTTGTAGAATTTATGCATTTGAGTTATGGTGTTGAAGGAGAATATTGAAAGTACCATGGACTGCCAAAAGAAAAAATAGATTTGTGTTGGAAGGAGTACAGCCAGAGTGCTCCTTAGAAGCCAGGATGGCCAGACTTTGTCTTTTATACTTTGGACATATTGGCAGAAGGGGACACTTACTGGAGAAGGATATCATTTTTGGTAAAGTGGAGGGTCAGAGTAAAAATGGAAGACCCCGATGAGGCGGATTAGCACAGTGGCAGTAGCAATGGGCTCAAACGTAGCAATGACTGTGAGGTTGGCCCAGGATCGGGCAGTGTTTTGTTCTATTGTGCACAGCGTTGCTATGAGTCGGTACCAACTTGACAAGCACCTAACAACAACAACAAGACTAGTACTTAGCCTAGGTGATCTTGGAGGTTCCTTCCAAGGTATAAGACATTGAGATATGTGAACCATTCAACTATAAATTACATATCCCATCCTGGTACATTGCTACTCTCAAAAGAGACAAATTTGAATATAGAAGGGTAGCCAGATGAAGCCACTGGGGTTTGTAGGGCTAAGAGAGCATAAAAAAATGCAATTACTGTAATAACAGAATGCTTAGGGATAACAAAAAGATGGTAGACTCTCTGAGTATTATCTATAGGCATATATGCTAAAGATAACTAGGAAAATGTCCTTTCTGTATTTGCTTAATGAATACTTTCCACATACCTTGTTTTGCAACGATTCTCATCAGGCTTTTAAAAAGGACATGTCACTTTTTCATTAATATCTGTGTGTGTGATATATATTAAAAAAAAAAATAGCATCAAGGAAGCAGGTGACATTTGGGCCTTTGATCTAGTTTCTGATATTCCCTGAGAATGGAGTCCCTGGCTGGTGCATATGGTCAATGTGATCAGCTGCTAAATAAAAGAGCAGATATTCAAGTCCACCTAAAATGCCTTGGAAGAAAGTCCTGGCCATTGACTTCTGAAAAACCAGTCACTGAAAATCCTAAGGTGTGTAGTTCTACATTGATACACATGGCGTCATCATGAGTTGGAATCAGTGAGAACAGGTTGGAGAATATCAGGTGTGAAACTACCAGGGTGGCACTGTTAAAAGAGATATAAAGGGACTATTTACCTTATATTTTCTTTAGACTTGACTTTCTTCATTTTAAATTTATCCTTTTCTTTCTTGAAGAATTGCCGTAGTCTTTTAAGTGTCTCACTTCCATCTAAACTAAGAGGAATCAGAGGACATAAAAAGCAGGGTGTTGGAGAGAGGCCTAGAGATGGAAAGCTACTGTATTCAAAATGAACAGAGACTTCATTGTCATTTCTAAAACACATGCCCTCACGGAAGTGCAAGGAAATGCTGTATCAACTTTTGTTCTTCTTGTCTTTGTTTGGAATCTGATAAGATGTAGCAAGTGCTATCGGCAATGAAGGGAGTAATTCTATTTCAGTACAGACTTGCATCTTCCCCAAATGGTCTCTGTTTTGCAGAGTTTATGGAACAAGAGCTTTCTTTCAGAAGAGAAGATACCTCAGGGCACTATAGGTCACAAACTGTATTACAAATACAGGAATTTGTGTCTTCGGAAGTTCACATCACTAAGTTTTAATTTATTGCATGATAATATAATCGTGATACACTGACAGCTCAGGTGATGATTCAAATTCTTCTATAAGATTCTCGGGCTGTTTAGGAGAAGGGCCTGATACATCTGTATCATCCAGCAACCCAGGAGCCTGCCTCGTTCATAGTTCTCTTTCCCTCTCATCCCTCAAACTATTCATTTTTGATTATTGCTGCCTTTCTTTTCATAGTGTGCCCTTAATAACTAAACATGTTGAATAAATGTTTGAGCACACATTATTTTTGGTAACACTGAATTAACCAGATATTTAATTCAGTCTACATATCAGAGGCAGCTTTATTAACTTGCAAACACACAGTTAAGTCATAAACATTGACTGGTTCCTGGAGAAGCAAGTGTCACAGGTATTATTTTTTCTTCTTCTCTTTTTTCATTTGTCTCTTAACATAACAATATCTGGACAATGAAAATGTTCTCAAAAGGTAAGGTAATGTGACTGAAAATTTATTGTTTATGGTTGTATAAAATTACAAGCATACCACTGACCATAATGTAGAATTATAGCAGCTCATTAGCAAGCTCCATTCAAATCCATTCTAGAAGATGGAGGGGAGATTGGGAGGGGAGGTTTGGGACAGGGCATTTCTTAAACTCTGGTTTTCTAGACTAACAAGAAATAGCATTAACCTAAAATGGTAAGAAATAGAGAGACTCACTCTGTCTTTGGAAAGCTGCTCTTTGTTTTATAGACATCTTCATATATGTCATCACTATTTTCTTTTGAAACAAGAAAAAATCATTCATTATATAATGGCAAGAGTTGAGATTCATATTTTTTTAAAAAAATTCTTGAATACCTACCATTTGCTAGGCACTTTGTCCTTTTATTTATTAACTAGTTTTTATTGAACTATAAGCACATGTTTTTACAAGCAGGAAGTTGGCTTATCAGAAGATTCCTTCCTTTCTTTCCATATTTAGCATATAATAATCAAAGTCCTGGTGTGGTGCTGTAGGATAAGCACTGGACTGCTAACTGCAAGGTTAGTGGTTCAAATCCACCAACTGCTTCTCAGAAACCCTGTACAGGGTCACTTTTGAGTTGGAACTGACTTGACAGCACTTAATAAAATAAACAACAATGATCAGAGGTTACTATGCATCACACATGGTCCTGGATGCTGGGGAAAGAATGGGAAGCCATCTCTGGTGGGGATGGAGTACTTAGCAAGCAAGGTAAGCACAGGCTTATTTGTGCTTACTTCCTAATCTGTTGTGAATAGTTTCACATGTTTTCACACTTCAGCTCATGTTTACCTTTATTCTTTATTATTGGGTAATCTACCCCTACTTCTAGGTCATAGTAAGGTCAATGGCAAAAGCACTGGGTCACCATGAAAGTGAGATAGCAAAACCATGCCCATAATCAGACCTGGATTGTGGAGAGCTCAAGAAGTAAGCAATTTCACAGTGAGGCTGTTTTTGTTTTGATCATTTCTCTTAGCTTACCAGCTCCCCATTCAGTTGGTATCATTAAAAATATGTAAAAATAAAAGACCGCTTATCACTAATCAGTCACGGGGGTGCTTGACAATTGCTGCTAGAATTGGAGAAGGAGAATGTCTCTATACTTACCACTATCTGAAGCAAATGAGTTAGAAGAGAATGACTTTGTTCTGTGGGGAGGAAAGACATGAGGACTGTCAACCTGTTGTATTGTACTTAAAGTCTCATCACAGCTTATCAACGGACTGGGATGCACGTACCTCTCTCTTTCAGGGCACTCGACGTCATCATACATCTGTGTGCTGGGACTTTCATCAGGGGTTTCTCTAGTCACCTGCAAAGCCTCTACATACCCACCTGTAAGGGAAACAGTAAGTTCTTCTTGATAAACTTCTCATCAACTGCTCTCAGAAATGTACACATACCTATTACTAGTAATGAAGGCAGGAATAGGTAGAGCAAACTGGAATAAATATGGATTCTTTCTTTTCATATGTTTATAAATGCTTAAAGTTTTATTTTCCTCTGTGTTTGTATAAGTCAGGTGAGTCATTCAGATTCAGTTACTTTTGGAAACTGAAGTTTGATTACAGTAATTCTTTCATTCTTTGAATCAACAAACTTTTGGTGGGTAATTACAGTGTGCCAAACACAGTCAGGAGTAGACAAAGTGAGATGGAGTCCTTGTGTTGTTGTTTGTATCCCTGCATTCAGCTAGGTGAACTCAATGATTTCAAATTAAGAAAGGTGTGTGACAGGATTGTATTCTTTCACCATACTTATTCAACCTGTATACTGAGCAAATAATCCAAGAAGCTGGGTTCTATGAAGAAAAACGTGGTATCAGGATTGGGGGAAGACTCATTAACAACCTGCAATATGCAGATGACACAACCTTGTTTGCTGAAAGTGAAGAGGATTTAAAATATTTACTGATGAAGAACAAGGACCATAGCATTTGGTATGGACTGTAAAGAAAACAAAAATCCTTAACACTGGATCAATAAACAACATTCTTATCAACGGAGAAAAGACTGAAGTTGTCAAGGACTTCATTCTTCTCGGATCAATTATCAACACTCATGGAAGCAGCAGTTAAGAAATCAAATGACATATCGCATTAGGCAGATCTTCTGCACAAGACCTTTTTAAAGTGTTAAAGAACAAAGATGTCAGCTTGAGGATTAAGGTACACCTGACCCAAGCCATGGTATTTTCAATAGCCTCATATTCATGAGAAAGCTGGACAGTAAATAAGGAAGACAGTAGAAGAATTGATGCATTTGAGTTACGGTGTTGGAGGAGAATATTGAAAGTGTCACGGGCTGCCAAAAGAACCAATAGATCTGTGTTGGAAGAAGTGCAGCCAGAGTGCTCCCTGGAGGCCAGGATGGCCAAACTTCATGTCTCATACTTCGGACATATTGTCAGGAGGGACCAATCACTGGAGAAGGATATCATGTTTGGTAAGGTGGAGGATCAGGGAAAAAGAGGAAGACCCCCAGCGAGATGGATTGGCAAAGTGGCAGCATCAATGGGCTCAAGTGTGGCAATAATTGTGAGGTTGGCCCAGGATTGCAGTGTTTCGTTCTGTTGTGCATAGATAGGGTCACTATGAGTCTGTACCAACTTGATGGTACCTAACAGCAACAACAATTCCCAATGGAATTACATCTACAAATAGAGGGGTTAGGATTTACAGCACACATTCTGGAGGGACACATTCAATCCATAACACATAGTATATCATCAGTGGGTCAATTCCACTGTGCCTTGGTGTGGCGCTGTGGGTTAATGCGCTGGACTGCAAAGTGGTTTGATCCGTAAGGTTGGAGGTTCACCAGCTGCTCCTCAGAAACCCTATACAGGGTTATTATGGGTCAGAACCAACTGGATGGCACTTAACAGAAACGCCAACAAAAGACAGGAGGTGACAAATATAAAAACAAATGCACTTTTGCTGAATACCTATTGTGTGACATATGCATACTGTCAGATTTGGTTCTCATTAAACTCTTGTGAGGTCCAAATGATGATTCCCTTTGATAACTGGAGAAATAGGGCTACATGAATTTACACACTGCAGAGCTACTAAGTAATAGAGCCTGAATTTTCACTCAGTTCTTATTTCTAAATTCAGTGTTCTTCCCATTACTATAGTTTGTCATTAAGTACCTTTGAGTCGGTTCTGACCCATAGCAACCCTGTATAGGGTATCTGAGGAACAGTTGGTGGGTTTGAACCACCGATCTTGTGGTTTGCATTCCAGTGCTGACCCTACAGCACCACACCAGGAGTCCACTACTGCCTCTATACTCGGGTTTGTTACTTGATACATGATGATGTTTATAAAATAAGTCAAATCTGGTCATGCTCAACTTTAAAATAATTAGGTAACGCTGACTAACACAAGGGGGGTATGTAACTTACCATGGCCTTGTGAGTGTCTGGCCAGCTTCAGATCCTCAGGGCAGGCCTTTGTGTGGGCGATGCTCATCACAGAGTTCTGCTTCCTGGCCAGCATGCTCTTCCTCCCTCTGGGGACTTCTGTCATCTGGAGTTTTCCACGTGTCTTTTCATTGGCTACCATCTAAACACATGAACAGGAAGGGTACTGCAGGGTTTTGACTTGACCATTCAGTTCCTGGCTCCTGGATGCTGATCTTCATTCATTTCTTCCTCATGTTCAGCAATCACTTACTATTTCTGTAACGCTGTCTTTTCCCACTGGACTCTACATTTCCCATTAACTATGCTCTTCTGTTGCCTCTGAATGGCCAATGTGTGCCTGGCACAAAGCCCGGGGTCCCACGAGGCAGTCAGGATGGAGTAAGCACTGACGACAGAGCAGGCTCCTTACAAATTCTCTCTCAATTAACCTTCCCCATGAGAAGGAGAGCATTTGTCTAAATGACAAAACTCACTGCCATCGAGTCCATTGTGACTCACAGTGACACTAGAGGACAGAGTAGAACTGCCCCTTAGGGTTTCCAAGACTAAATCTTATGGGAGCACACAGCCTCATCTTTCTTCTACAGAACAACTGGTGGGTTTCAACCATTGACCTTGCAATTAACTGCCCAATACTTAGCCCACTGTGTCCCCAGGGATCCTGATAAAGGGTTTGCCATTGCTGCTGCATGCCATGGAGCCGGTTTCAACTCATGACAACCCTGTAGAGGGTTTCTGAAGATGTAAATCAGAATGCCTATTCTTTCACCTATAGAGCAAGCTGGTGGCTTTGAACTGCTGGCCTTGAAGTTAGCAGCTCAACACATAATTCACTATACTAACAGGGTTCCTCAGTAGCAGGCTTGTCGTTGTTGTTAAGTGCCATCAAATTGGTTCCGATTCATAGTGCCCCTGTGTAAGATTTCTAAGGAGCAGCTTGAACTGGTGGGTTTGAACTGCCAACCTTGTGGTTTGCCGTCCAGTTCTGATCCTACAGCTCCACACCAGGAGTCGAGAGAGGGTTTATAGAAGTTAGATACTCAGTCTCTGCTCCCACAGCTAATAATTTTCCAAGGCAGGAGTCAAGTCCAGAACCCTGGGCTATTGACCACGAAAGGATCTTCTTCCTCTCCTCCCCATTGTCTGCCCTTTCATTTTTGTAACCCCACTCTTGTGTCCCTGCTTATTTCTCTCCATACCCCTCCCACCAGTGTTTACCAAACACAGGGAGACAACATGCTGAGAGCTCTGAAGATAGAGAGAATGCAATGGATATGGTGGCTTACATGCTATTCAAGGGACACTACAAGCAAACAATTAATTAAATGCAATAAGGTGAGTATTATTTACAGTAGGATTGCTGATTGAGATGGAAACAGAGAGGAAAGTGAGGTCAGTTCTGCTAGCAAGGAGACAGAGAGTTGGGAAGACTTCAAAAAGCATATATTATTAAATGACATTTAAAAATGTAAGCAGGTGATTGACAGGATAAAGGAATAGCTGGCATAAAACACAAGCAAAGGCATGTGTACTTGGAGAAGTGTTGGTGTCTCATCATGAACGGATGGGAGAGCAGAGGGAAGACTGAAAAGATTGGATAGAATGAGTTATGCAGGGTCTTGAAAGACAGGCAGATCCTGTGGGCTTTATCTCAGAATTAGAGAGAGACAGGTTCAGGAGAAACCTGATCAGATTTGCATTTCAGAAAGACCTGGAAATATTGACAAAAAAGAGACACTGGAGACAGAGAGAGGAATGAGAACGTTTATAAAAAAAGCCATCTAAGTGTTTCTAGTTTTAAAAAGAAAACAAGATGGAGGAAGGAGAGAGTTACTGTTCTTCCCATTACATCAGAGTGGACATGAGAGTTAAGCATAGTAATACATTTGAAAGTGTTTGTACAGAGCTAAAGTAATTAGTAGATATGAGACATAGAGTGTTCTGGGTTCTTGGTGGAATCTGGAGCAGAACGTGAGAACAAGAGAAAGGGCGTTCTTTTAAGGCACATAGGCAGGAATGAAATTTTCAGATGGGGGAAAAAATGACCAAAAGTAAGGAAGTGAATGTTTTGCACAAATATAGTGAACGTTGTTGTTGTTGTTGTCGTCAGGTGCCATCGAGTCAGAACCAACTCATAGCAGCCCCATGCACAGCAGAACGAAACAATGTCTGATCCTGGGCCAACCTCACCAC